CTTCAAAAAGCAAAAAATTCATAATTCTCTGCATTAACGTTCACGTTCGAACGCATCGTCCGCTATCCGTCAGTCCCGCTTAACATCCTAATTAAGGTTTACAATAATTGTCGGTGAACCGAATATATATCCTACCGCGATAGGCTCGTAATATTTCCTTGAATATTCTGCATCGACGTTATAATTGCGCTTGCAAATCGTCCGACGCGTAGAACAATGACCATTTCTTTAATGATTATTAAACGCCTCTTGCGGGTATCAGGTGTATGGAGCCTACGACCGACCTTGAAAAAAATAACGAACGGACAGCCCCATAAAAATGAACGTTCGATCAAATCCCGGCGCGTAACGATGAGTCAGAGGCACCAAAGAACAAACTCCTCCGTTCCCATGAAGTTTTGCACTTGCAGTGGGCGAGGCATCTAAGAAACTTTCCCTCTTTCTCTCTCTCTCTCTCTCTCTCTCTCTCTCTCTCTCACCTATTTAATTCCCTGTGCTTCCCGTGGCGCTCTTTATGAGAACAGTAACGCCACCAGCAAACGCCGACTCGGGTCACCCGCCGTGAGTCCTGGGCCTTTCCCAGAGATTCCCGTACATTGCGCTCGCACTTCGCACTCCCCCGCCCGGCCATCGCGCCGCTCTTGCTTTTTCACATTCCCCCACCCACCCACGGGCGCGTAACCACCACCAGTCGGGCGGGGGCCTTTTCCCATCGAGCCCCAAGAACTTTTCCGCGGACAATAGCAGTCGGGACTTCCCACCTACCGTGCTCGCAACGGCCATTTTATTTTTCCCTTTTCGCTAACAACATCGAATACTCGCCATTTTTCCGCTTATGGCGCTTCTCGCTCCGTTATCCGACATTTGCAGCCTACAAAAATATCCAGCCTGTCAGACTGTACCAATGCATCATTGCTAGTAGGCATTTTCACGGCTGAATTTCAAAAATTCAGCTAAAGTCGATTTAGTAGCCATCGCCTTCAACGTGCGCTCCGTCGAATTAATACGAATCGAATATCTCAGCGCCACTAGATAAAATTGCTACGATGATACTTTTATTTTTTATTCTGTCGTATCCTGATGCAGAAAATACTCGACAAATAGGTGCAAGATATTTATCGATTATCCTGCTTAAAATAGAAAGAAGAAAACATTTCATTATACAATTGTATTTTATTATAGGCATATATAGATCCATTAAATTTATTTATATTTTCCATTGGAATTAAGGAAAAATAATATTCATTATAATACGTAATTTATAATTAAATTCTCCTATGAATAATTAAACTTTTTAAGTAACTACTATATGATATAACTTGATATTATTACTTAAATATATTTTTACGATAAGCCACTGCTATTTTCACTCAATGGCTTGCAAAATATGTGTTAAAACTCATTTGTAAGAATATAATCGATTACTTCGAGATATATATATATATATATATATATTTATATTTATTTATAGCTCCTTTCAGCGTGATCTCTAACAAATACCTTTAATAAATTTGCTAATAATTAAACAAGCATAACTAGGATAATAAAGCTTTTCCAACCTTTCCAATACATCAAAAATAGCCAAGCTCTCTTTGATTTTGCTTTTAACAACATCAATCGATTAATCAAAGCTAATACGTTTCTTAATTATAGTCTTGCTGCTGGCTGCGTGAGTAAGAAGAGTCAATCATTAGATCAATTTCAAAAGCATCGACTCATTCGCCCGTTGCCTCATACACGCGAACAAAACTTTAATCCTCTACCTCGACTCCCAATATACGAACTTGTCGCTCGAGCCCTTCCGGCTGTGCTCGCTGCATTTCGAATCCGATTCCGCTTAAAGTAGCACGCTTCAGGTGAAAAGCAAGCTCGGCACAGAAAGTTAAAAAAGGAAATTAAATAGAAAGTCATTGAGCGCAATGAGGAGCAGAGTCACTGCTGGAGCCTCGTGAACGCGGTCGGCCAGCATAAAAATATAAAAAGCGAGTCTCAACCCTCGCCGGGCCAATCCTTGTGCCGTGCGCCTCGCGCACCCCCCCCTCCTGCCCGGCTCTTACGCCAAGGGTGGAGCTTAAAATATAAGGGTGGTACCTTTCTCGTTTTTACCTTCCCCGCAGTAGGCACGCACGCGACCGCACGCTCTCATCCTGTCGCAGGCCTTTGCCGTCGCCGCCGTTGCCGCTGCCACTGCCACTGCCACTGCCGCCGCCGCCGCCGCCGCTGCCGCCGCCGCCGCCGCCACCGCACGAAGGGCGAGCGAGCGAGAGAGACAGAGCAAGTGGAGACCGAGAGAGCCAAGAGCACGAGTGAGCTTTGACAGTCGTCGAAACGGAAGTGAGCCGACCGCATCGACTGTTGCGAGCATATATCGGCTCTCTCGCAATCTCTCCCTCTGTTGTGTAGTGCGCGGTACGTTTACGTCTTCGCCCGGGGATTGCCGAAAGGGGCTGCGGTCCACGCGCGACACGCCGCGACAGAGATTCGGAAGTCCTCGGAGCGTCAGGGCTACGGAGGACGCGGTCATGAAGGTCTGCGCCCGGGCGCCGACGATTCTCCAGCAGCAGACGCTCAGGCTCGAGAAGATGGCCGCGGGCGTAAAGAGGCTGAGGCCCGTCGATATGGCATACGCCAGCAGCTGGAAGCGCAGAAAAGGTACACGCCACTGTCGCCCGGGGTTTTGCGCTCTCGAGCACGCACTCGATTACGTCGTCAGGGTGTCGGGAGGCGCGCATCGAGACGCGGAACGCGCGACCCAGCCGCGGGCCGTGACCCGGGAGTTAACAAGACACGCGTCCAACCTAGGGCTCTTAGTCGCTAGATGTCCGCATCGCCTTCTCCCCATTATCAATTAGACATATTTTGACCTTTTGGTGCGCTCTCGTGGCCAAAGTCCGTATGCAATTGATGCGCCAGTTAACGCCCGAGGACAGTTAGCGCGTTAAGGTATTGATTGCACACATGACAGTTTTCGCGCTCGACTTTCTAAATGAAGTTGCACAAAACGCCTGCCCATCTTACCATCTCCCACACCTACTTCTCAGCCTAATTATAATTATTATTATTGTATTAATAGCCCGATTTGATTGCAGATTTAATCTGACACTAGAGAATAATTTATTTGGCCGGGAGAAGAAACTCGCATTGACCACAACTATCATTGAGTTTTTTTTGTTTTCTTTCTATTTTTCCATTACAAAATTTCAGTTTTTCAGTTAATAGAAATTATTGCAATAATTAGACTGTATATGTATATGTATAAGCATGTATAGATATTTTGACACTATTTTGGATAATGAAAAATTAATAAATAGCGAGGCAGTTCAGTGTATTTTTATGCACGAAGGATCTAGCGGGATACTAGACAATAAGACGCTGTTACGTTGTTAAGATTTCTAAAAGTAAATTTAGATTTGTTACTATAGAACACTTGCGAAGCCATTTAAATTTTATTTGCCGATTGGAAGTGGAAATAACGAGCTTTACGAGAAAATTATGAATTTTAAATTCTGGCGATAGGAAAAAATCTGTCGTGCCCGCGCTATCTACAGGTGTGCGACAGCGCCTCCGAGGTCTTTTCCACATCGTCTTCTCATCCTGTGCACGGCTTTTCGCGAAATTGAAAACTCTCACGGAAACGCGCAGCGCGCGATCTCATTCTTTCTCGTACTGTAAGGCAAATTCGTCACCGACTAATAAAGTAACTGCTCCCTCTTGCCAATACTATTGTACAAACGGTAAAAACGAGCCGAGAGACAAAAAAAGAAATCCCTAAGAAAGACAGAATATATATTACGCGCATAAGTACTCGCATACATTCAGTAATTCTCGGCGATCTCTCTCTCTCTCTCTCTCTCTCGCTCTTGCGCGCGCGCGCAATAATATAACGACGGCGCTTCCCGGAATGCTCACAATGCATCTCTCGCGCTGTTTTTCATCTTTCGCGTTATACGGTTCGACAACGGACTCGCGCGCAGTTTCTCCCGGTGCGCAGGCGCGGGCAATTAGGCATCGAGCGACGGATTTCTGCGAGCCTTTGTGCATCCATACGCCATTTTACTCGCGCGCACAAAGCTAATTCAATTTGTCCTATGCTGGAAAACTTATAAAGCCGCCGTGAGCGCTCATCGGGTCTCGATTTTGACATTCAAGCGATTGCCGTCGATGCATCGTCCAAATTTTTCACCCTTCCGTCTCTCTCTCTCTCTCTCTCTCTCTCTCTCTCTCTTCCTTAACGTTTCTTCTTCTCCTCTTGGGAGCGCGCCTACGTGCCAGCATAGTTGCTAAACTTTTTGGAAAGCTGCTTATTAATACATTTAAATCAATAACATCGAATCACTTTTATATATACTAAACATTTTGCAGCCCAAAGTCTATTAAAACTCACGTTATTCTTTCCCTGCGCTTTTCATATCAAATTAAAGTCGAATTACACGCTTTACGTTGAAAACCACTTAGCAATGATCCTCTTCCGGTTAGACAACAATTAAAAATCCTTTCTACCCATGCTTCAGCCTTGCAAAGCTTACCATAAGTAATTCTATCGTTCTTTTGAAGTTAAATTTTCATTTCACACAAAATGAATGGTACGAGTCGCCCTTAAATAAGCACAGGTAACAAAATAACTGCACGATCCAAAATTAAAATAAGCCCCGATGTTATAATAAGCCAACTACAAGGGAATTCTATTATTCTTTATTGATTAAACATCTACAACATTATAAAGAAAAATAATTATTAATAATTTTATAATTATTATGATTGATTGAACGATGAAGCGACAATCAATTTTCTTCAATGAGATAATCATCATTGTACATTTACGTAAATAAAAATTACTTTGCACACGGCCTACTAAGCCATTGAATGCTTGAAATATCCAATTAACCGAAGCCGTCGTTAGCTAATTTCGCATGTATTCCGTATAGTCGTAAGTTGATTGCCGAAAGCAGCAATAGAGCGAACGCAATTAATTGCATAAGAAATATTACTGATGCTTACAGAGTGCCCGCTGACGGACACGCTGGACTTAAGTTCCCAGCAGCAACATCAACAGAAGGTGATTCAACATCACCACCATCATCTCAACAACAACAACAACAACAACAACAACAACAACAACAACAACAACAACAACCATACGAGCAACAACAATCATACGGGCAACAACAACAACAACAACAACAACAACAACAACAACAACAACGACAATACGATCGTCCTGGCGGGTGCCGGTCCCCAGGAGGTCGTGATGAAAGCCAAGAGTCGAGACGCGGCGAAGAATCGCCGGGAGAAGGAGAACCAGGAATTTTGCGAGCTCGCCAAGCTCCTGCCCCTGCCGGCGGCTATAACCTCCCAACTCGACAAGGCCAGCGTCATCCGGCTCACCACCAGTTACCTCAAGCTCAGAAATCTCTTCCCCGACGGTAAGTTTCGACACTCTGCCCTTTACGTACCATCCCCGCTTTTATCCAAGGCCTTTGTCCCTTTGGGTCTTAAATGGGGCATTAAACTGACGCCGGATAAGGTGTAAATTTTCATTCCGATTATCGCTCTTCGGAGAAACAGTATGTAATAGAAATTATTTATGCCTATCGTCGATTCGCTCGTTATTTCCTCATCCTTATCCTTTCAAGCTCAATTATTTTTCAATTATGTGTTTCCTCCAGATTTTATTAATCTAATGAAAAGTCACTAGCAAATACCTATTGCCACTTCTATCTAAATTGAATATTATTATTGATTTCTTTGTAGTCAACTTCATTTATATATCCGTCATTAGTCTATTGATTTCCAATCGCTTCCACAATTCCTATCTTAATAACAAAAAAAAAAAAATTCTTCTAATCAACATTGAATTCCTCAAATTCCTCTTACAGTAAATTCGATACTTTTTTTAAATTTCCATACACACACGAACAAAATTATTAAATAATTATTATAATTGACTGATGATTCAGTAATATATACAATATAGACCAAAAACGATTAAATTAGCATCATTACAATTGTATTTTCGTAATGCAAATTAATTGTAAAAGACATTGTGCAGAGTGTTTGTATAGCTTTACACGAATGGCACAACGAGTTTATTAGTAAATCGACGTACTGCAATGTTAGGACTGTTAAACTCGGCGCCATTTATTTATAACGAGTAGCAAAAATATTTTAATCATTCCGAAGCAACTTGCGGAAAATTTTCGCGCCACAACGAAAAATGCATAATACCAAGGGTCAGATGCGGTTGCGCCGACGTCGAGTGCATGTTAATGTTTCGCACTTGATGCAGTCGTGTCTCTCGCTCAGCCCAGCTGAGTATGTCGTGTCCGCGCATTAATTTGCACGTAAGCGAACGACGGGAAAATTTCGTTTGCGGAAAATCTTTTCCGCGTGCGTGAGAGTGGCGTCTATAGCCAAGGGTTGACTCGCTCGCTGTACCTTTGACGACAAATTTTTCCCATTGCCGAAACACGCGCAGACGGACGCGCACATAATTGCGGGCACAACATTGAAATTTTGCTACACTGGAGGTTGTCGAGGGCCGTCGGGGGAGGGGGGGGCTGAGCTCGCGGGGCTGTGAAATCGTGGTACAACGTCCGCTCCGCGTGCTCATCGTATTTACATGTACAATCCTTGTTTATCGAACTGTTGGAGCGAGCGGCGATCCTAATGTCGGATAAACCCGCTCGAAAAATCGACGGACCGCTGCGATGTCCTTGCAGATCGGCATCTCGCTTTCGGGAATTTTACTAAGGATGTGCGAGTTCGCGTCATCGGAGAATCGCCCGAGAAAGAAGGGAAGCTGTCGCTTATTCGCTCGCGTATATGGATATTATTGGTGGAAAGGAAATATATCAAAAGACAGCGATCGAACGTGCGGATGTGGCTTCGTTTGTCTCTCCTTCTTTTACTTCCCCCCTACATCGTCCCGAAGCGCGAATATAACATATGTGACGCGCATAAATCCGTTCGTTCGCAAATTTTTTACTCCAAAGATTTTTTTAACGCCGTTTTAATGCGCACACGTGGAGTAAGGGCGATCGACTCGGCACATCCGCACATAAATACGAGGCGGTCGTGAACACGAAGGCGAGGCGTTCTAGAGGGATGCGACCTCTTGAAATTCAATTCAACGATGTCTGGAAATCCGAGGGAGAGCGTGCGCGCCATTGTAACGCAATAACAGCCCCCATGCTTTGCTTACAAAGCAGCGTCGAAGGAGCAGGGCGGCGGGGCGACGGCGGAGGGGCGTCGCTGGATGGTAAAAAAAAAAGAGAGAGAGAGAGAAAGAAAAGAGAGGAGAGAAAAAAAGGCGGGATGAAGGGGTAGGGGTTAGCGAGGCACCCTCGCATAACAATGTATTAAGTGCGCAATCACACCCATCTCATCCGATACTATTTGCCCTTTGCGTAGTCTAAGTGTCCTACAAGGTGGCGCTGATGAATTAACGTGCGGGTGCATGAGTCGATCGTCGCCGATCCCCGTGCCTTTGCCGAAGACCGAATAAAAAAGAGTGAAAAAGTTTCCGCCGGAACCACTTTACGCGTGTCCTGTTATAAACTACAAGGGATTCTCACTAGGGAATGCTATCTGTTCTGACAAAGAAAGATAGAAAGTCGTCGCGTGCGAGGGGAAGGGGTAAGAGGGGTAAGGGCGACGAATCGAACGAGATCGATCAAACATCCTATTTGCTTGCTTTCCACCCATAATATTCATCTTCTCGCATGAACAAGTGACAGATTCATTCGTTCGTTCGCTCGTTCTTTCTTTCTTTATTTCTTTCTTTCGTACGTGCGCGGTCCCCCGAAGTATAGCGCGCCGTCGCGTCAACTCGCGGCTCCTTTGTATATCTCCGAGCGAGAGATGTCGATCTATAATAAGGGCGTCGAACCATCGATTTTTCCATAGTTTTTATCTAGCCGTGGGATCGCTGCCTCGGGAATGCGAGGACTCGATGAACAATCAATTAAATGTAAATTCGGTGTACCAGAGATGCGAACCTTTTATCGAGATTTCCACACCCCGATGCGACTGCCAGTTTTTCCCCTCAATGGGTCGCTTGTCGAACGAAATCTATCGTAACTTTAAGCGATCTGCTTTCCATGCACGTGTTACGTACTTCTGGTACTTGTACGCATGCGAGATGCTTTAGATTTTCAAGAAAGTCCGTGTCAACAACATAAATGATTTATGCTTAGGTCTTGGAGACGAATGGGGTGCGGCGCCGCCGTTAAACCATCCTGGAGAAACAACAATCAAAGAATTGGGCTCACATTTATTTCAAGTGAGTACTCGATCAGTTATGAATGCTATCAGTGCAGGACTCAACGATAAATTATAAATGAATTTTTATTATTCTAGACGTTGGACGGATTTATCTTTGTTGTGGCGCCTGACGGGAAAATAATGTACATCAGTGAAACGGCCAGCGTACTTCTCGGACTGTCCCAGGTTGGAGATATCCCCACATTATATTACTTATTAATTGTTATATAACATTGATTATATATATATATATATATATATATATATATATATATATATGTGTGTGTGTGTGTATGTATTTACGAGTACGCGCGTACGATGAGAGAGAGAGAGAGAGAGAGAGAGAGAGAGAGAGCGAGCGGGGTGCGGGGGTATCGATGGAAAAATCTCTCGAAAATCTTGCTTTTAATTGACAGTAATTGAGCTGCGGTAGCTTATCTCGAATCATGGATCATTAAAACGTGTTATTTTGACATAATAGCCTTTTCGGATAGTTCAGTCATCCATTTGTCCTTGTGTGACATTTTCTCAACTTTACACATTATTAATTCTTTTTCGTATTAATTTCTTTTGTTCAAGTACATTTTCATGATTGTTTTATAGATTGAAAATTTAGAAATATAATAAAGAACAGCAGTCATGTTACAGTTGTGAAAGCAGTTGGTTCTTTGCTAACCTACAATGTATTAATATATGTGAGCATGTACGAAGGTATCAGGATTTTTTTAATGTATCGATGATGACATATCTGGGACAAACCAATGCAATTGTATTAAGACAGAAATTGTGGGAAATACCTCAAGGCAAAATACTATGGACCTCAAGATCGGAATATTGACCAGAATTTTATCGGAACCAATAATAAAATTTAATTTACATTTGTTTGCATACTTTTGGTCTTTGAAATAATTACTTGACGTTAATTTTTTAATTGTCAATTTTTTTTATAAACTTATATATTATAACGATAGATCGCACTATTAGCATGGAAATTTTTAACTAACAATTTCAAAAAACTAAATTAAAAATATTTTTCTTAATTTCTTACATATTTATATTTAAAACGCGTATACATGTTTATACATTTGTATATATAGAGGATTAAGACAAAACAATACGGGCAATTACCACGCGGATTTTTCACTTTTTTCACGTTTTATTAACGTCATACAACTTAATTTTAATAACAATAAACAAAGATTGTATTTTCTACATTATATATATATATATATATATATATATATATATTTTTTTTTTTTTTTGTGCAAGCCACTCTAAAATGCAGCCTCGAAGAATTAAATAAGTATAAATTAGTTAATTAACATCTCAAAGAATATTATAACAGCTCCGACGAGTTAGGCTTGGCAAGTGCATCATACTTTGTTGCATTCCCTGAATTTTAAATGCAGACTCCATATACAGCATTACGAATAGTTGAATGAAACTTCCCATTATTCGCTCGAAAATGTCCTTCGTAGTCCGTAAGAATGCAATGCGCGTCGTAAAGTTATAATGCCGCGCAAGCCCGGTAAAACGAGCGCACAATAGCCAAGGAAACGCCGTTGTGCAACGATTGACTGAGGCGACGAATCGCTTGTATCGGCAATTGCAGGTCGAGCTCACGGGCAACAGCATTTACGAGTACATCCACCAGTACGACCACGAGGAGATGGCCTCGGTACTGAGCGGCTCCTGTCTGCCGAGCGGTGCACTTCCACCGCCCAATTCCCACGGTGACATCGAGATCGAGCGTGCCTTCTTTCTCAGGATGAAGTGCGTGCTCGCGAAGAGGAACGCCGGTCTCACCTCGGCTGGCTTCAAGGTAACTTTTACCTGCGCTTTGTTTTCTATGCTTGAAAGCTTGTATTATTATTATTTTTTTTTTTTTGCTGGGATAGCGATGTGGAGGGGATCGCGGCTATATCACCTGCCAATGTAAATCACTGGCTCGCGCCGTACACTTTATTAAGCTCGATGGTAGGCAGACGCGTTGAGGATCAGAAGTGAAGGAGAGAGAACAATGTCGATTACAAAATGTCGCTAATACGTGAAACACGAATCGGGAATAAACGGGGCAGAGGGAGGACAAGCAAAGCGCGAGACAAAGGCCGAGATTAATGTGCCGAAGAATAAAAAATAAAGAATAAAGTGCGCATAAGAAAGCCAGCGCGTTACATTTTGGAGTAAGATTAGCGGGACGTCGAGCGCAGGAAATCATAAAAACGAATAAAAATCCAAATGCTAAGTGAGAGATAAGGGATGATGTTGGGCATAAGTAGGTAGGGCATTGTGAGGGTCACGCGCGAGCCATTGGCCCGCAGGTAGAATAGCTCGCGTCGCGGTACTCCCGCCTCTCCGTCCCGTTTCATCGTTTTATCACCGCTGCAGTTTGTAGATTAGCTCGGTGCATTTGCTCTACACCCCCCCCCTCTTCATCCTTCGCCATTGCCCCCTCTCCCGAACATCGTTAGCTTTTCTTTTTAAACGTATCCTAGCATCCGCTCGTCCGCCATCGCTTCCTCCCTGTGCAAATTGACGATACATTTATGCTCGGGTAAGATTATGAGGATCGTTACTGTTTTCTTTTCTTCGACTGGGCAAGCAACTTGGACAACGTGTACGCTGACACGTTGAGACTGCGGTGAGCTTTCGGCCATGTACGTGCCATACTATTGGCCATCAGTTTGCGAGTTCCTGTTTAGGAAGATGGGGATTAATAGACGAATCGATAGTTAAACGTTTGCTGGCGTACGAGGGTTGGGGATGGGGATCGTGGAAGATATATATATATATATATATATATATATATATATAGAGAGAGAGAGAGAGAGAGAGATAGATAGAGAGAGAGATAGATAGAGAGAGAGATAGATAGAGAGGGGTGGATAGTGGGGAGGGGGGAGCACGAAAGAGTGAAGGAAAGGAGCAAAGGCACGGACACCGGCGTGAAACGTTTAAGTAATTGCACGATTAAGGAAACAATGGGTATAATAGCGGAATTATGTTGAGAGAATTCCCTTGCGAGCGATAGGAAGTGTGAGAAGTTCGCGGCAGAGTATAAAACACTCGCGGCGAGTTTCGTCCAGGTGCCGTCGTCTTTTGTACGGGAGCGCAAAAAACGGCGATGGCACGTCGGCGAGCACTTGACTTCCGCGCGAGGATGAAAGGACGAGGAAACAGGGAGGAGGATGAGAAGGAGGCGCGCGACGTCGTCGGGTTGAATCGATCCGCTTTGCGGCGCTCCTTTACTCGCGCCACTTTCCCGGATAAATCGAGCGTGTGCGCGGGCGGGCGCCTCCGGGATGAGCTAAAATGTCTCGTGGGGTAAAAACAGTGACGGAGCAACAGCTACGGCTGTGTTTGACAAATAACGGCACCGGAAAATTGGCGTCAACGTCGCCATTGCGAAAGTCACCCGGCGGATAACCGTTTCAATTATTTTTTTATTTGTCCTGAGCACACGCGCTCGCTCATTCGTCCGTCGAGGCTGGATCATTGATTGGCGCTTTGTACGTGACGACTGTCGGCTTCGTTGCCTCTCATCCACTGTCCCAAAATGTATGTGATTCGTTTGTTTAAACATAAAACCTCACTGCTGACTCGACTTGTTTAGGTTATTTTGAATTATGCAAAAAATAACAAATAATAGATAAATAAAAAAGAAATAAAAATAGAAATAATAACAGAAGTGAAATATGTGTGTGTGCGTGCGTGTGTGTGTGTGTGCGTGTGTGTGTGTGTGTGTGTGTGTGTGTGTGTGTGTGTGCGCGCGTGTACATATGCATAATAGACAGTTTGCATGCCAACGGGCATTTTGTTTTTGATCTGAAATGATAATAAACTAAATTTTTTATTTAAGGATATGTAAATTATTTGAATAATATCGACGTTGACAATAGAGGCATAAGGGGGACGAAAATTCATTCCCATAAATCTAGGTCGTAAAATTAGGATAAAGAGACAGACTGTATGAAGGGGAACCACTGCTGGAGTGTTAGGATTTCCAAGTCGAGTGGTATTCCCGATTAGTTTGCCTTTTTTGGAGCGATGGTGGGGGGAGGGTGTAATTGATGTAAAGACAGGCAAATTTTATTCATTATTACTCTAATATAATAAAAAATTCAATAACCAGTTTACGTCATTTTATACTGATAATTTTTCAATCTACTTTCATCACTTAAATCTTAAATCGGAAATATTAAGATTATTAAGATTATTATTCATAGTTATTTTAGATAATTGACGTTGCATATCTTGAGCGTGAAATTTAATTGTATTCCAGTTAGATTGATCTCTTTCAAATAAACAAATAGATATTCCTTAATAATATTTATCATACTCTTTTATTGCATTGATAAGAATCTTGAGGAGATTTTATTGTACTATTCCTTGATTTTAAATCAAATAAATGTCTTGTTTTTGTTTTTTGTTTTTTGTTTATTTTGTTTATGTTTTTATCTCAGTTGTGAAACGAATTATTTTTGAAATATTGAAAATTCCATGTGGCACATTTCACCCAAAACATCATTCGTATTATCTCGTAGGATTTGTGCAATATACTAAACGTAAAGAAATTGAACATCGATAAAAACTAGCCATATAAAATTAGCAAAGCTCTCGTATAAAAAGAGCCAACTCATTGGAATTCCAGTAACTTAAAACTCTCTTGTACAATGATTATAATAACGTCGAGTCCTTGGCCTCTTCGTTTGAAGGGGCTTTTTCATTGAAATTGGAATAAATTACATCTCGCGCAACGAAAAAATACGTATATTTTTTTCATACAAATATTGTTGGTCTTGTATGAAAAATAATCAAAATATACGTAATAATTCTAATGACATTATAGGAGCTTTTAATCAGCAGATGTAATTCTTTATATTCTTTTTAAGAAGCGAAACACAAAGTCGACAGCATTAATAATCCATCCGTTCAGCATTAATTAATAGTGGTAGCTTAGACGGAAGACTTTAATTAATTATTCATGATAAAAGTGCCGATAATGATCAATTCGTTGTAATTTTTAAGCATCGATTGTAAATGTCGTCGTTTTCTGCAATCGGGCTTTCCATGGCCATAAATATCTTCGAATGCGGAACGTAGTGAGCGAGTCATCTTACACCGAAATCAAAATTTTCAACTGCTAATGTTCTATAGGAAAGGAGACAATAGTACGGCTCGTCATGCAAACTATCCATAAAAAAAAAAATTAAAAGCGTAAAAGAGCCCGCGGGATTATTTTTATGCATGCATTAGCTTTGAGATGAAAGCAGCAGGAAGGAATCGCGCGCTTATTTGCTTTACAAATCAAACTTGAAGAATCGGCGAGTATGTAGACAAGAGCCGCCGATGCACTTTAACGGATGCATCGCCGCTTCGTCGTACTCGAAATTGGTAATTATGCGTAGATATGCACGCGCGGTTTTACGCTTTACTCCTTTGTGCGTGGCCGAGGGGGATGAGTGCCGTACTTTTAAGCGAGGGAGGCGCGAATAACCTAACTACCTATGTATGCGTGTGTTTAATTGGGCTTGCTGTTTCCGTTCTCTGTTTTTCTTTATTATTTATTATTATTATTATTATTCCTATTACTTTGTTGTCGTTGTCGTCGTCGTTGTAGTTATTATCCTATTACGTAGTCCTTGTTTTTTTGCGCGCAGAATGAATATTGGGTTACTTTTGTGAGGCGTTGCCGATGCCGCTGCAACGGGAGGAGCACCAAATGAATTCATTTGCAAGAGTACGCACACGTGTCAATTTAAGGCTTGTTAAGCCTAGCACGGAGCTTTTGATGCGAACGCACTCGCGACTTATTAACATTTTCGAGTTTGTTAATTTGGGCGAATCAAGTCGATCCCTTCATTACCGAGCTTATTTACACTCGCCTGGTTTCTTGCATTGGCTGCCAAGTACACGAGCAAAGTTTTTCCAATACCTGTGTCGCGATAACATTCATTTGCCTTCGTTTTCACTATTTTTCTACGCAACTTCGATACTACTATTGCTACTAGCATTGCTACTAGCATTGCTACTAGCATTGCCAATAGACCGACGTGTAGGTGTCTATGTACGAATGAAAAATCAATCACCGATATTACGTCGATCTTTGTTTGACTGGCGCCGCCAACGTTGCTATATGAATAGAAAAATGGGCAAATAGGAAAGCATTTAAAAGGGTCGTGTAGCGGCCACGGGAAATACGCGTAATCGGATGTTGAGGTGAGGCGCGAGGGGTATCTCCCGCTTGAAATGCGGTAGTGACGCGACAAAGTACGCGACCTCGGCGACGATGCTGCGAAAAAAGGAAAGAGCCGTATTATTTTGTAAACTCGTTGGAGGATTGCGAGCGCTTGGCTGGTGAGGAGGAGGGCGGAGAGGGGTGAAGGGTACAGTGTCATCGGCCGTGTACGGCAAATAATAAACACGCCGGTGTTTCGGCTTCCCCACTTTTCGCAGGTGATCCACTGTTCCGGCTACCTGAAGCTGAAGCACGTGACTGTGCCGGGAGGCACCGGCTCCGAATACGACAAATCCGCCGGCTACGAGCTCCACAACGTCGGCCTCGTCGCGGTTGGCTACTCGATGCCGCCGAGCGCCAACACGGAAATCAAGCTGCATCACAACATGTTCATGTTCCGGGCCTCCCTCGACCTCAAGCTCATATTCCTCGACGCCAGGTGAGTTGTTTATATTTTCATTATGACACTCAGTGTCTGCGATGTCGCTTACTTGTGTTTCTCTTGCGAAAATCGGCGTGCGCTGCACCACGTAAATTGGGTTCAACGACCAGGGCCAAGACGGGAATACATACGTTGACCCCGCAATGCCTTAATGAAAGTTGGGAAATATTTGTCGGGAGGCCGGGCGCAACGAAGAATCGATCGTATTCTTTCGCTACTTGAGTCGAGGCTCGATCGAAGCAACAATTTTTGCATAATTTCAATGCAATGGGATTCGTGTGGAGAAATTGTCTATCTCGAATGGACACTCTGGTAATACGTCCTTAACAAATCCCATCGAGTCAATAATAATCTAAATTTAGAAACAATATAGTATCGATCGTGCCTCAAGCCTTTTTAATGTTGAAATAATTGTATACACTTGGATTATTAAGAAATCGTGTTATAATATAAGCATCGTATTAGTTAGCTTTTTAATTAAGTATAAATGAGTAATCTACGTATGCGCGCTTATTTTCAAATGTACAAGCAATAAATGCAGTGTGTACATGCACGAGCCCGTGTTATCAAATTTCATTCGCTATGTTTTTCGATGATAAAAGAAAAGAAAAAAAACTCCAAACTTGGACCATTAAAGTCCTCTTCTCGAATTACCAAATAATGACAGCCACTTTATTCAGTTCGAACTAACATCGACGGTCCCATCTACTGCAATATTTTCTTTCTTTTTTTTTTTTTTTTTTTTTTTTTTTTTTTGTTTATTTTGTTTTTAATTTCACTAAGGGGACGATAAAATATGCGCGTGTTAATGGTAAAATAAACGTCTGCCTTCGAATCTGCAATTCAATAAAGATTTCTAATTGTACGCAAGTTAATTTGAACGCTTGTTCGGTAAACTTATCCACCTGTCCTTTTCGGGCAAGTGTGAATTTCAATAAGGGTGACATGAAATAAGGAAGAAATACAACAGGAAATAAATTAATTTTTACAGTGTTCCACAATTGACTGGCTACGAACCACAGGAACTGATAGACAAAACGCTTTATCATTACGTTCACGTTAGCGATGCTGTGCACTTGCAGCAGGCACATCAAATTTGTAAGTAATTTATTTTTTTATTATAATTTAGATATGATTAAGCAAGAATTTCCCAAGCTCATCGCATTATCAACGACGTTATAAAGATGGGCATTATTAAAGTGTATTATTTGCTATCTGTTAAAATATCGGTGGGCAATTGTTATTAAAATTATGAATAAAGTCGTGGGTAGTGTTGTTTATAATTAATCATCATTGCTCATTGGCTATCGTACATTCGCACTAATTGCACACATTGCAAATATAAGCGTTGTGCCAGATTCAGACAAGACTAATGATAAAAATGATGGAAGTCTTATTGAAAAGAATAAAAAATATCGATTAAGCTAATAATAGAATACTTAAAGTTGAAAAGTTTCGCTGACAAAAGATACTAACGAAAACTTCAAAACAATAGGATCAATATCAATACCGCGAAGTGCCATATTCTAGAAGAAGCGTAGTTGCTTTTAATGAGCTTCTTTTGCACCATCAGCATCTAATATCATCACAAATTATATTAAGAAGAGCCTGTTTAAGAAACATATTTTGATATCACTGGATTAAGAAGAAAAAATTATGTTAAAGCGAGACGAGGCAATGAGATTTTAATTTAATTTAATAAAAATTGTGATGAGTGAAGGAATTTTTTCATGAATTAAAGTTATATAATGTAACATTGTTAATAGCATGTGAGAATAAAATTTGTTACGATACAACGTGACGTTTAAATTTCTCATTATTTGCAAAGCAGATCGCGCTTTTTCCAGAAACATTCGACGATATCGATACTATCTGCATTTCGCGTCTATGCATGTCTCTCGTACCTATAAAGTGGCTTTGGTACCAAGGAAAAGAGTCCACAAGGGCTCAAAAGGGTTGTATACGTACATATACAGCTGACGCTGCTTTTCAGCTACAGCGAAAGAGCGAGAGAGAGAGAGAGAGAGAGAGAGAGAGAGAGACAGACAGACAGACAGACAGAGAGCGAGAGGTGGAGGAGTAGGAGAAGGGGGGAGGGGAGGGGAGGGTCGGGTGTCTGGTAAGCCCTTATACGCGAAACACGGAGAGGCTTTGATCTTTCGTCGGCTCGCTCGTGATGACCGACCACCTTCTTTACCTTCGCTGTGCTTCTTTTACTACTTATTTTCTCTCTACCTTATGCACTCTTTTCGTCTCTCACCTTTTCCTCTTCTTGTGCTTCTTGTTCTTTTTATTTTTCATTTTGGATGTCTCGTGTGCCTCGCGAAGAGGAAACGCCCTTTCGAGTTTTACGTCACCACCGTCATATTCGTCACTCTTTGCGGACTGCATATTTTTAACTTCGTGTTTAAGAATGAAAAGACTCGAGGTTACTACTCGTACTACACTACAAGCCGAGACTTTATAAGAATGAAATCTTCCTTACGGTGAAAACTTGAGAGAAAATAGAGCGAGAGTCTTGAACAAGCTGTAGTTATTTATATTAGCTTATTAGCCGATTTATAATAAATAAACGAAATTAACATTTATATATAACCGAGATTAGTATGAGATGAGACAGGATGAAAAAAACAAAATTCTATTCATTTATTTCGCTTAATATTACATACACAAGACATTATGCAACAAATACAAATATATATATATATATATATCCTTTTAAAATATATCTCGGAAACTGTAAAAGTATCTATACGTTTTTAAAATTCTGTTGTTGTTGTTGCTACTGCTATTATAAAATCTATAATAATTAAAAAGAAAAAGTCAATAATACGTATATAGCATTATAAAATAATTATTCTTGGCATCTCCGCATTGTATCAACTGCACTTCACTAGAAATGGCTGAGACGTGCAAAGAAAATTTTACGCATATAACATGTAATATTACCTTGCACACAACTTCTGAGATTTTCTGTTCTGAGCACGTTCCATGCATTGGTCCTTTTAATAACCAAATTAACCAAATATTGAACCATGATTAACAAAATTATTATCAATCGTAAATACGTGCGATCATAAAAACAATTACAAGCAGAACATTGAATTGCGATGTGAATTATCGATTGAACAATGATGAATTGTATGTGCATCACGATATTATACTGCACGATTGCTCTCGAAAATACAAAAAATATTGAGAACAAATTTGTAAAATAAATAAAGCGAAAATAAATTGAATTCGAGTTTTATAGAAAGGTATTTAATCCTCGTTTCATTTAAATATTGCAAATAATAGGATTATGCGAAATAGGTATTATCCAATTGATAATTGGAATTCTGCCCAACAATTTTATGCATAACTTTAGCTTGAAACTTACATTTTGCATTAATATAAAAAAAATTAATCGGTACGCTCATTTTGTTATTTAAATATTGTATTAGAAACTTAGGATGGCAATTGTATTACGGAAGTAAAGTTTAAAGAATTAAATAAGAAATTAAATTTATATATAAGTAGATTGTTCTGCAATTTAAAATCAATCCGATTATTGAGTTTGCTTAGCGAAAAATATTTTTTTATCGCCAACACGCTTCCTTAATTGAAATTTTAAACGTTCACGGCACAAGTCTTGTATGATAAGAGAAAGATTTTGTTTAAAAATCTCGCTTAAATACAAGATTGTTAAAAGTTGAAAATACAAGTACAGAATTATGGAAAACTTGTGACAAAGTAAAAATAAAGTTTATAAAGTTTAAAAATTCCAATGATGAAGCAAAGAAAGGGACCTGCTTATAATATGGTGGAGCAAAATGTGAGAAAAAGTCGAGACTTTGTTTTAGTTAAAGTAAGTAAGAAAGGAGAAATAGTAGGAAGGAGAGAGAGAGAGAGAGAGAGAGAGAGAGAGAGAGTAAAAGAACGAAGACTGAACGTAAGGAGGAAGAAAGGAAGGAAGGATGGAAGGAAGAGCGAGCGAGATGATGGTAGATACTGCGAGGATATAGGAGGTAGGAAAATAGAGATAAGTGGATAGGAGGAGCAACGTAGAAGTAGTAAGAGAGACGACGGGTGGCTGTTACTGCTATCATTGTTTGAACAGACTCACAGTTTCATAGGCTCACGAGCTTAGCCTCAAAGGGATGGATGCCATTGCCGTTGTGTGAGTGATCCGCTAATATCATTTCTAGGAGACGGGATATCAAGGGCTTTTATACTACGAAAGAAAAAAAGTCCAAACCCCCTCCCTCCTCCCCCCTCTCTGCACAAAGACAGCGTAAATTTTTTTTTTTTTTTTTTTTTTTTTTATTACTAGCCGCCAAGTATAAGACGCTTATGCCGAGAGTGGAGATTCCGTACGAGAGATTTTCATGTCGCAGTCGGTCAAAAGCAAGCGCTTTTGTATTTCTCATTATTATGTACTCGTAGAAACGGACTCGTGATAAAACGAAGCGAACTTTCTTCTTGATATTCTCGACTGACTTCGCTAATGAGTAGTCTTTTTTTTATTTTATTTTTGTCTTTTTACTTTTACTTGTTTTAATACGGAGTTAATGAGCTTTGTAATACACCAGATGGTAAGGCTTTGCGGCAAGTTTACATTTCTCATTCGATGAAGCGTATTATCTTTTTATTGTTAATCTCTCGATTCTAATAAGAGATAATAAAATTATATTGTGTTGGCGGCTTTAGCCGTTTCAAGTACGTTCAAATACTTTGCTTGCTCAAAGTCTTTTTAGTAAGGAAATCGAGGCACCGATAATTATCACTCCTACCTGTCGTTAATTATTACAATTTGAAATGCTAAACCCGTGGCAGTTTGTGCATCGATGTGTGTGACATAAAAGGATTCCCTTATCGTACGATCGTCCTTCATTCTTACTCTTAAAAGATAAAAATGTCCTATTTTTTTTTTCTTTTCTTTTCATTTTTGCAGTGTTATGCAAGGGTCAAGTGACAACGCGCTACTATAGGTTTCTGACGCGCACAGGCGGTTGGGTTTGGATGCAGTCGTACGCAACGATCGTTCACAACTCCCGCAGCTCCCGACCCCACTGCATCGTCTCCGTCAACTATGTACTTTCCCAAATCGAAGCCAAGGATCTCGTGCTGAGCTCCGACCAGAAGGCCTCCATCGCCTGCTCGGGCAATCCGCCCAGCACACCCCTATCCAAAGCGTCGCTCGCCACGGTCGTCGCCAACGCCAGTATCTCCGACATGCAGGAGTCGAAACAGCAGCAACAGCAGCAACAGCAACATCAGCATACCAGTCCAACATCACCGTATCGGACGAGAACGACCACGGAAACGACTGCTGACTCGGAGTACACAGACAGCTCTGGTTACGTTAGCTCGGAATACATGACCAATCACGGGGGTTACGGCATCCCGCCAAGTGCCACCTTCCCGACTCAAGGTGCTTCCGGAGTACCACACGAAGACGGCACTTATTATACTCCTGATATGTTCTACCAATACGGTGGTAAGTTGATATTATTCACTTCATATTTAGCTATTGCTATTTTCTACTTTAATGGACGAATGTTTTTTTATTATAATGGTTTAATATAATTTTCATTTAATGGTAATAGTTTTGCAGTTTCGCGGTTAAAGTCGATCGATAGTACGTAACTCGAATTTTATCGAAAAATAGCGATCTTATCGTTAAAAATCAATTTCAAACGCAATCCAATGCAATCTATTTATAACACTATCCGAAGTACGTGGCGATTCCTTACATTAGTTGATAACGAGCAACAATAAATTAGTAATAAAAACAAAAAATTTGTCTATTTTTACTTACTTCTTTCGACGAAACTTCTTTACGAGATATAAGGCTTTAATCGTAAATTCAATTAAGGGGAAGGATGGCTTATAATGAATCGTTTCTTCGTCAATATCTTCGCGTCGGTGGCCTTCGCTTTGGTTTAAAAACAAAACAAAACAAAACAAAACAAAACAAAACAAAATAAAAAGAGAGAAAAGAAAAAAACAATTGCCTTGATTTTAGCAGGTACTCCTCACGATCACCTAACAACCGTCCAACCGCAACAGCAGGCACAGCAACAACAGTCGCAGCAGCATCCCCACCTCATGCACCACGTACCAAGTCCAATGACGAATATTCAGCACAGTCCTCAGAACCAACAGCAGCGGAGGCCGTACTCGGCATCCTCGAGCTCCTGCGGGAGTTCCGATGCCTCGGACACTCATCTCTCGAGCCCGCTCAATGTTAACCACGTGATCGAGGCGCCGCGCAGCATCGGCAACAACTTCCCCGCGTACCCGCACACCCCTCAGCACCACCAGCACCAGCTGATGGAGTCACCGCCGAGCGTAGCGAGCATCGACGCCAGCGCGGCCATGTTCCCCAGCTGCGGGTTTAACAATTTCCTCAGTGGTTACGCTGCCACCCCCGCGACTCCCGGCAATCCCGTGATCCCGGGTCACCACGAGCAAGCCTACACCTCTCCCCATCACCACGTCATCCACGAGAACGTTAGGCATCACCACCACCATCACCTTCACGTCGACAGTGGGGTCGAGCACATAGACATACCTCTTTACACCAATACCCAGCAGTACAGCCCCAATTCCGTCCAACCGCATCATCAGTTTGTTCACTGACAGCAGGCCAGTTGCTACGACGTCGCTCAGACGCCGCAGCCGGAAATTACAGACGAGCGGGGGGTGTTCAAGAGACTCAGGGTATTTTGAACATCATTGGCGACTACTATAATGGCAAAGAGGCTTTTCACTGGCTCGCGTGCATTGTCAACAATTCCAAGTCTATTGGTTAATTAGTAGCGAGCCGAGAGGGTCGCAATAGACAATGGACCTTGGAAATTTCAATGGAAATTGGAAATTCTCCAGTGCAATGTATCATTATGAATCGTATCCGTAGCGCGCAAACATCTTCTGGTCCTACGGCAGCTCATATAAAGAACAAACAAACAAACAAACGATGTTTCGATTAGCAAAGTTACAGTCATGAATTATAAGCATCATCGAGTCGAGTGTTGCGGTGTGTTTTGAGCTACAAAGTCGTCGTGATTTATCCGGGCTGATTAAAGATTAATAATATTCAACGTATCGTTTACGAGAGTTTGAAATGTGATTAGCAAAGAAAATTCAATGAAATATAAAAAAAAAAAAAAAAAAAAAAAAAAAAAAAAAAACCAATAAATAAATATATAAATAAGAAAGAAAATAAAACCTTTAACGTAAGAAGATAAAATAAAATAGCGTAGACGAGAATATTTTAATCATTTTCGTTTGATCTAGTTGGTCAGTTTATTGAAAATAGTATAACAACACGTTTGACAATTAATCTGCTGTGATAAACAGCCGATAGCACTAGCAGAAGTCATTTTAATAAGATAATCATTTTAATAAGGGAGAATGAAAGAATCGTTGCGTCAGTAATTCAACATTGCCGATTAAATTTGAAATGAACGTTTCGAGTGAAGGAGAAAGAGAATTAAATAAATGAATGATGTTGTTTCTTTATTTATTGCTTCATTAAAGGTGACTATCGCGCTGGACGCGATGATGAACAATGCGAAGTAAGATTCAATTATTTCATCGGCATCGCATACACGAAAGTAGTATTTAGGGAAAAATTAATCACAATCGATTCCTTCTAATCGTGCGGTTTTGTTCTCCTACTATTGGAACTTATAAATGATTAAGACACTTAAGGATAACTTTGATCGTCGACTTAACGGATGTAAATATTAAAATTATTACTAGTTATTAGATTTTTCAAATGTAAATAGCCAAGTTTGATCGTTCGTAGTTTAATTTTTAGTAAATATATAGAGTATGTAAATATTTTATATAAACCCGAAGACTGACCGGTGCTTATGCCAACCGACCAAAGAATCAACCTTTTTTTAACGTGTAATATTATTAGTAAATTTTCACACACCATTATTGATTAAATTATGCAAATACTACACGTGAAAACGAAGGTTCTGAATAAATTGTAAATTATTTAATACCGTTAGAGGAATTTTAACATAGTATAATTTTTAAAAAAGAAAGCATAATAATAACGATAATGATAATAATTGCAAAAGCAGAGTTGGGTTTATTGTCTATTTTCATAAAACGCTTTAAGATGACTTTATAGAGTAGAAAAATATTATTTTAAAATTTAAAACGCTATTGTTCTTATATAAGATTTATTACACTTGCGAATGCACGACACTGAATTATAATAAGATTAATCAATAACTATATTAATAAGATTTTACTTTGTTATTTGAACGATTATATATATATATATATATATATATATATATATATATATGCATAAAATACTATTTAATGTTGTTTATTTCGCAACCCAACTCTGATAATAAAATAGCATGATTTTAAGAAATCGTCAAATCACAATTCTGTTACTGTATTACACAAATTCAACTGTACTTATGTAATGGCATACTTAATATACATAATGTATTTATATACTATACATATAGGATTAATATTTATATTTAATGTAAAGTACAAGTGTGACATTTATATAGCGATGTTTCAATAAATTATGAAACACGGCCGTTATTTAAGTCCTGTAAATATTGTAAAAGTATAAATTTGCGCATTACGGTGTCTCTACGCCGAAAATATATCATATTTTCCTCTGAACTCGTATTTTTTTATTTAAACATTTCGTTACGTATTTAAAATGGACAGTGCTTCACTTGAGCTTAACAAACGCCGTAATCTTCACGAATATGAAAGAAAATGAATTCAACAAGTAAATTATTTTTCGGCACTTTATGTTTAGATTTTTAATTATATTTGAAATAAATTTCGAGTTATCGTGCATTAAGAAATATATTAGAATTACACGAAATTCCAAAACATTGTAAATATAATTTTCTTACGACAATTTAATATTAAACGTGCTTTTTATTTGGCTCCACAATACTATAATTCACTTATAGTGCAAATAATTTAAGAAAAATGGGATGAAAGATTTTTTTTTTGGAAAAATTTTTTTTTTTTTTTTTTTTTTTTTTTAACAAAAGTTTCCTATCGAATTCTAAGTTTGATGTTATTACTTTATTGCAAATTACAGGTAAAATATAAATTATAACGCGGAAAAGAGAGTTGGTATTACGTTAGTAGTATGTAAATGCTTTTATTTTCAAGCAATAAAATCAATATAAGTTTTTCAGTTCTAATGTGCGAGATAATAATTTTCGCGATATAAAAATTAACGAAAAACAAAAGCATTCATAATTTTAGAGGATCGTCATATATTATTGTGATAAGATAGACGACAAACTACATAGAAAAGAGTGCCGGGTGCGATACAAGCTCCTATCTCTCATTTTTCAGGATTACATCGTTACATCGCACCCTCAGTCGTTACGAAAATTGGATACACGAGTTGGCTCCTAATAATTCATGACTTATCACGCAGACGGACAAAAATGTCAGGGACTGTACCGCGAATGTCGCATCGAAAGCCGCGAAGCTTGCCGACAGACGCCACACATACTCTACAGCTCTCTCTCTCTCTCCCTATAACGTTCCGATCGATCGAGCCTTATAATAAAGTCCGACCCTTTACGCATTTGGGCTGCTACACACTGGCATCGTTTACAGCTTCGCGTACTCACGAGCGAAAGAAAGAGAGAGAGAGAGAGAGCAACATTCACCACCATCTGGATGAGATTTATTTACGATGGCGATAAAGTACCATGCCATAGAGCAGGTACTTGGCCGGCGGTCGACTGGTCCTCGTATTTACCCGCTCAATACCGCTACCTGTCAAGGAAATTATTGACCCTCGACACCCTCTTCGTTCTTTGCGTACCAAGCGGATCTCACACCAGGCGGTCGAATTTCCACCGATTATGGGGAAATCCCACCGGCTGTTCATCATCTCCTACCAGTTCCGCACCTCTCATTCTCACTCTCTCTCTCTCTCTCTCTCTCTCTTTACCCATCTCATTCCATCTTATTCCACATATTTACCTCCCCTATACTTACGTGTCTACACGCCAATGCGCAAACTCATCTTGTTGCATTGTCTACATACTCAACAGCGAGCAGGTCAGTGCTTACTATGTAAGGCAAGTGAATTTCATAATACCGATTTATGTTATTTCAGACTTATGTGACGACTTCTCATATGGACTATTATCCAATATTGGTTGAATTCCCGTTTCTAAATTATTTCATTAGTACAGATTACTCTAAGCCGAAAACTCCTCTGATTAAAAATTGGCAAATAAAAGTAAAGCCGCTTTGAATGAAATTGACAATTTATCGAAAATTTATTATTATCGAATGTAATAAAGTCGTTGAAACGATGATTTAGCTTCGTTACATTTTATATAAAAACAAAAAACAAAAAACATAAAAAAAACACCAAAAACATCTACAATGTTATTTTGAAATACGTTATAACAAAGCCTAGGATTTTATTTAATAGATTATAATTAAAAGTAAAAAAAATTTTTTTTCTAAAAATACTCAAAAAATTTTCCTTATTAAATTAATTGGTAATGAACAAGGAGCGATAACATTTCTAAATTAAGATCAAAGAGAGATAAAAGGAATTTTAATTGAAAAGATTGAGATTTAATTAAAAATTAATTATTAAATAATACGACATACAAAAGAAAAGTAGTTTTCCTGGAGAAAGGAAAGCTTTGTCTAAAAGTTCACTTGCAAAGGGATTTGCCCATTACAAATTCTAATTTTACATAGCTGATTTACGTGCTCTCGATTATGTCGGGACATATTACATTAGCCGAAATTTCTCATTGGATCCAGTTAATGTCAAAATATGTATAAAACAAAAGGACTCTTTAAAACCATAAGAATCGCCAAATTGAAAATCTATTATTTGCCGAGGTTTTGCCACGAGAGCAGCGATTTGACTCAAGTCAAATTAGCGCATTCGCGGCTCTCGTCCCTTTCTGGCATTCAACTCGTCACACCAGGAACGACGACGCACATGTGAGAAAAATCTCCGGCTTCGAAATCGTCTCCAACCCCACCCCCGTGGAATCAAAGAGCCGCGTATCCCACGAGCCGTAGTAATGCCGGGGAGTTAAACTGTGCGCCCCGACTCGTGTCTCTTTCCTCTCTCGCTCCTTTTCGAAAGTCCTTTTCGTCCCCGCAGTTGGAACGGAGAAAAATCAGCGTCAAACAACGGGATACGGAGTTCGCGTTTAATTGTTGGGCAATTGAACAATAGCAAAGCCGGATACGTGCGTATATATGTGTCACTGTGACTGGCATCATTGACTGCAACAGATTTAAGACGAGAAATGATAATGTGCGTCTGTGTGTGCATATTTTATCTAGTAAATGAGAGCATTTATTTTTGATAAGAATATGATTATCTCAAAGGGAGGGAGACAGAGAGAGAGAGAGAGAGAGAGAGAGAGAGAGAGAGAGAGAGATAGGGTGTATGATATGCGTATTACCCGCGGTGTGCAACTATAAAACTATGCAGTATATAGTTGACATGAGAAAAAAAAAGGGCCACGTGCCCACTCATTGTGCAATCAATGATCAAAAGTTGTAATAGCATCCCAAAAAGACAGGCTTTTCTCTCTTTCTCTCTCTCTCTCTCTCTCTCTCTTCCGTATAACAAAAATTTTATTTTAATAGAAATATAAGGATATAGAGATAAACAAATTATAGAAGTAAATAAATAGGGCAATTTTTTTTCTTGTATTTAGCCGAAAAATACAACATAATTTTTATCTACCACCTTTTATATTCAAATTTTTACATGTTATTTGAATTCAAATTCAACTAAATCCTATTCATTATAATAGACAATGAACATTTATGAAC